GGGTTTCTGTGATTACAATATAACACCATTTACTAAGTTCTAAACTAGATTTGCCCTCTGTCTGCCACTCAGCAGACCTTGATGTAAAACATGGCCAGAAATTAGTTTGACTAAGAGCTGCATTTCAAGACCAGAGCAGAGCTGTGTATAACGAACAGCTAATACAAGTAATTACTTACTGTATTGTTGTTTCCCCTAGTGAGCTCTATATAGTTAAGTTTTAGGCCACAATAATGTGATGGCCACTGCTCTATCTGCCTGGTATTTAGTGTTCAGTAAATTATGATATGTCTCTGGAAGGGTTGTTTTCTAACAATTAACCTTAGAAAGGAGCTAACTTCATTTACATGATAATGAGACATTCAACCGAAGTTAAATATGCTAATAAGTTTTCATGCAAACATCTGGGGGTCAAGCACAACAATGGACTTGGACAAGGAAAATCTTTTATTAAATGCAAATCAGTTTTATGTTAACACTATGACAGAGAAATTGATAAGAATCTAATATACAAATAGGGGGACCATCTAGGTTATATCGTCAATGACCCCACACTGAATTAACTGATTTACTTATATTTTGAATCAATACTGAATTGGGTAAAATCTTTATTGTTGCATCAAAGATGAATAAAAGACTATATGTAAGGGGAGAGGTGACAACAGAGTGTGTTGCCTCATTTTTCATGGAAATGTCATATGGGTTTTTGGAAGACTGAAATATAGTATCCTACCATGAGGTATGGCAAAGGGCTTTCAAATTCATAAGATTTTCATCTTACTTACCAATATTATATAACAAAACTTATAATCTGGCTTTGTACACGTTTTATAGGAAGAAGACCATCAATCTGGTTTTATGCCCTGCTATAAATTTTATTTTTAAATTTACTCTGCATTTCATACTGTGCTCAAAAGAGCCTCTGATTTGATCTAGAATAACTGGAACTGTGGCTTCTGACAGACGTGGGAAAACAAAAAAGACAACATTTTACTAGAAGAAGAAGTGCGTTAATTTGATCCAGCATCTGTATAGATTGGGCACTTCAGCAGGCCAAAAAGCCCTGCTGAAGTGTCCAATCTATACAGACGCTGGGTGAGCTGGGTCAAACTAACAATGTCTCTTCTGGGCATGAGCTGCACTCGGTGCAGGGCTGCACTGAGCTTAAAGTAAAGCACTGTTTGTTTTGTTTTTCCCCCAAGTCTGTAAGCATCCTGTATGTTGTTAAACTGCGGTAACAACTTTTGGACATCACAGAGACCAGAGAATAGGATTCTGACTTCTGAGTCAGGAAGAGACACCAAAACTCTTGATTGTGCAAAAAAGATTGTGGCTACCACCTGCCCCCAAAATGAGTGATACAAAATGAGTTGGCTGCCCCTAAATTCAGCCTAACAGCCTGAAGGATGACATATCAGATACAACAGGCTTCTCTTTTGGTTTGGTTTCCTGGTTTGAAGGAGAGATTGACTCATTTTGGCGGTTACAGTTCAGGCGATCAGGTAAAAGTGATTCTGGTTAAAGGAATCTAAGGTTTAAAAGGGAAAGGAAGCTGGCCTGGTAGCAGACAGCTAAAGTCCTTATGCCAAGTACTAAAGCTTGTGTATCTGATTCCCCTACAGGCATAGCAGATAAAGTAAAATTTGCAGTACCTTTATAAGTCTGATCAGTTTATAAAAGGGGTTATGTGAAGTGGTTGCCTATGATACCTGGGGACTGTGCTTGATGAACCAAGAAGTCCCTTACAGTCCCGTGTTACTAAAAGAAGCCATGCTTAGGGAAAAAGCTGAGCCTAAAGTTTATTGTCTGACTGATTAACTCATAAAACCAAAGAAAAGAAAAGAGAAGGTAAGTTTAGACTAAACCCAGAAAAGCCAATCTTCAGCTGGTATCAAACAGCTTACTCTACTAAAATCCTGTGATGATTTACAGTAGCTCTTGCTTGGAGCATGAAAGAGCATTAGCTAGTTACAATTATCAACATTTCCAAGCAAAGACTGATTTTTGAAGAACCCCAGCATTGCAGAAATTAACTATACTGTTGAAGAAAGCATGGTTTTATTTTACTGCTAATCAACTTGTGCATGACTTGCAAAGCATGCCTGTACACAAGATATTGAAATACAAGTGAGATAAGATTATGGAAACCATCCATACCTGAAAACACTTGTACAAGAAAGTCCACCCCCTACCCCCTACCCCAAATACATTAGTTAGGTACTTCTGGAGATTACTAACTGGTAGTTCACAGACTCTTCTACTGGTGGCCTTACACAAAACTCAGATTTTCAGCCAAAGCAAGGACCCTTCTGCCTTTCTCCAAAAATTAACATAGAGGTCTGGAGATTACTTCTGAACTGTTATATTCTTTGATATACAATAGTGTTGCAAGTATCACACTTTAAAACATGCTACATTGCATGAGACCTAGATTTAGCATCTGTTAAATATCAAGGAACATGTCAACCGGGACCCAGGCTAAATATAGCAGCAATGTAAACACATGATTACAAGTTTTTTCAACATCTTAATGGCACCCGATCAGAAATTGTGTTCTTTTTCACTAGGTCCTCTAAAAACGTAAAAGAGTCTCCCTAGCCTCCTCTGAAGAGTATACAGAGGAAAGCAAATTTTGCAAACTTGAACACTTAGAATTACAAGTAATTGGTTTAGAAAGAAAGAAAAGGAGACATCAAGCAAACATCCTCAATGATGACAATTTACACAGATATACAAGACAACTGTAAAATCTAAGGCATTGTATAGTCGGACACATATTCCTTGCCCCTAAGGTTTTATGACTTTGTAAGATGCAAGTAGACCAAAATAAGCATTCCTAATTCAGTCACTAGTTGTGACATCCCTTGTGAACTCTTATAACAGGCTTCTTGCAAGGCAGAAAAGGACTTCGTAGAACATGAGAAGGCGGTAATCAACAGAGCAAAAAACATTTGAGGCATCCTGCTGACTCATGGATAAGAATTAGAGGAATTCAGCAGGACACAGGAACAGTTCCAGGACAGGTCAAGCAAGGGACAACCAGTAAAAACAGGAATGATTCAGAAAATGTCTATGGAATCAGGTGTTCTTTATATCTTAAAAGCAATAGCCCAAGCTACAGTGCAAGATTACTTGTTTGAGAAAATGGCTTTTGGCTAGAAAACTTCTACCCATCTGTTTTACTCTAATAGGCAGTCTACTGTGCCAAGAGAAGTCAGGTTCCCTGAAGCACCATTAAAATAAAAATGATTGGGAAAGAAACTGAAGCAAATAATATATGTAGGTTATGAAGCATATACATTTACTTCTATAAGATCTTTTCCTTTTTCTTAGGTTTGTGGTGAGAAAGTATGAAGTCCAGTTACAATCAGGCAAAATGTTTAAAAACAAAGGGACTGTAGGGGAATAGTTTCTAGCTCTATCATTACATGCATTTAAATAGACCAGATGCTAACAGACTAGGATTTCAAAAAACAAGCTTAAAATTAGGCCTCCAAGATGCGACTTTCAGAGGGCCTGAGTGTCCAGAATTTATATTCACTCCACTGCTCTGGTCCAGAAGTCAAGAGCAGCTGCTAGAAGTTCAAGGCTTTAAAGTCAAATATGTACTTCGTGTAACTCCTGCCATCCAGTTTTGAACATCTCCACATTTCATTTCTCCATTGAGCTAGAAATTGCAGTAAATAACCTGCTGAATCTCCCTTTTAGTATCACTACACATTAGACAGTCTTGACAAACAGAACCCAAACAATAGATTTCCAAGATGAAATATAATACAAATGATTACTTAGGAAAACAGTATATTCCTGATCAAGGCTTGTGCAGTAGGTCTAAAATAAAACATTTGCAGAGAAAACTACTCAGCTATTCTAGACGCTCTGAAATCTGCTGGCTGTCATAACAAGGAATCAGGCGTATCCTAAATTTAAGACATTGTGAGTGTTCTACTCCTTCTGTCACTTTGTTTTCTGCATTTCCCCAATTCAGCATCACTGAACATATTCTATCAGTGTGTTAAGAAATAAAGAAGAAAAAAAAATAGAACTTCAGGCATGGAGGGCATTCTCTTGAAAGCCTTTTGTTTCATAAAAAGTCCCAGGCGTGACAGGGTAAATGGAAGAAGTTAAGTTTCACACTTAGATTTTGCATTAAGACAGTACCACGTTTTCCATGAAAAGTAGTAAAGTGTAAGGAACCTAAAAATTTCTAAACACAAGGAACACTTCCATCATAAAGCACTATGGTGTAAAGCTAATACTGGAAAACCACTGTCCCTGGTAGCTGTTTCTGCTGAAGCCCATTATGTGCCACTACCTTTACATTCTCTTCACCGTTACACAAACACTTTGATTCTCAGAAACAGCTGTGGAAAGAGCATGTTTTCTTTTACCAAGAAATATTATCATGCAAAGGAAAAGCAGACTACACTTTAAAATAAAACATATGCCATTTTTACCACAATATAGTTGACTGAGATGATGACCCTGTTACAGACAAACAAGTGTAGGGTGGTACCTTAGAGGCTATCTGGTTCAGAATGGCTTAAGTTTTAATAGGTGACAGGCTACTTCATCATTTAGCATCCAACATAACAGGATTATCTATGAAAGTTTCTGCCTCTCCAAATGAAGGGTGTTTGTGCCCGAAGCTTGCAATTAAAGAATTTTTTTGGCAAAAATCTTCTTGGTCAAATAAAAGATATCTCTACTATGAGTCCCGATTGCCTCTACACCAGTTCAGCTACAACCTGGATATCTGCCACTCTGAACCACTTTGTCCATAAGGTGCCACCCAGCCCTGCCTTCTACCTGACTGCAGACTAATGCATACAACTATATCCGTAATGGAGTGGGCTTACCCCCACTGAAGTTCCTGAAATGAGTTCCTAAGTTTTGTACTAATTTTATATTTCAAAGGTCAGTCATGAAATTATTAAAAGAACTCTTCACTGTTAAGGAAACAAACTAAGCAATCTTGAAAGTTTTCTTTTATTTCATACCTCGTTGTGATTCTTGCTCAACCATTCCTTAATAGTGGTAAGGGCAATGACAGCTGCTGGCTCATTTGGAAAACCTACGTAAAGAGGAGAAAGAAAAAGAAGAAACACATGAGATGCATGTTTGAATAGACAGATAAAAGTGTCAAATCCTGGTGAAATGTGCTACAAAGGCTTCTATTGGCACAAGTTTGGGATTAGAGCTTCTTAGATTTTTTGTTGAAATTTTAATGAAGAAAAATAATGTTTTTTGTTCTAAGAAATCTTGACTGGCACAAATAGTCTTTTTTCCAATTTTGAAATTGTGAATTTGAATAAATGGACTAGAAATTTATCCTGGAAAATTTTGGGGGGTTTTTTCCCATAAATTTATAAGCTCTAATTGGAGAAACTCAGGAGTAGTGCAGACATTCACAAATTATACAGGTCATTTTAAAATGTTTTAATAAAAACACTCTGTCATACAGACACACATTAGGTTTACACTTCATAACAAAGAAAGACTCTTCTAGAAATTTCTTATCATCTTAAAAATGAGCTACATTTTGTATCCAGCTGCCTCCAGTGTGAAGGTATAACCCTGTAAACCTCAGGAAGAGAATGCTAATTTTAGCACACAGATTAGCACAGGTTTTTAAAATACTACTTAAAATATGAAGAACAGTGTTTTAGATTTATGGAGCACAATCATATGAAGTTGTGTATCAGAGAAAGCAAAAAACCAACCAACCAACCAACTAAAAAAAAACTTTTCCAATGTACAGTCTTTCTTGCTCTGCCAGTTTGTAGATACAGAACCTGATGACGTTTTCATTGCTTATCCAACCCAGTGTATTTTCTACGAATGGCCTCATTTGTGGAGGGAGAAAGGAGAAGTAGTCTAAACACTATTGTGACAAGGTCTTTTTAACAAAACAAAAAAAAAATAACACCACCATGAACAGTATTCTCATTAGGTTGGATTATTAGAACTGTTCTCACACATATGTGGCATTAGGGAAGAGGATGCATAAGGTGAGCAACAGTACTAGATAGAAGCACTTTATAATATAGATTGGCATCATCCATGTATATATAATGCTATTTATTTTACTCTGCACCAGTGGTGCTCAACCTTTCTGGTGTGCGCAAGCCAGATGAGTGAGGCGCAGCAAATCTGTGGACAAGATCTGACCCAGGTCCAAAGCCATAAACTACACCCCCGTGCTGGGTCCCTGAGGATCATAAACTTTTAAGCAGGTGGATACTTTAGAAGTGGTAAATGACATGAATGCCTACTGTCTGATAGCTTAGCAGGTTAAAGCCTATAAATACTCACCATTCAATAAATGCTTTCATTGCACACGCTCCCCATTTAAGCACAAACCTTTCTTTTTGGGCCCAATCATGAAAGAAAGTTAGGGTTATTGAACTGGGTAGGTCTCTCTCACCCGTGAGTCATTTAATACTGTTTCTACTATTAGTTATCAAAGCAGATGCTAGGTGCTGTATATACCATTTAAGACACGAGCAACTAAAGCGAGCAGTCATTCAAATGATTAAATGGTACTTGCCATTTGCCAAACCTCACTGATGGCAATATCAAAGGCTCAGCTGCAGACATTTTAAATGTGCTTGGTTATATTGATACTCAAGGCCTGGTTCAGTCTCTGCTCAGCTGTTTGCTACTCATTAAGGCTTGTTAGGTTATTAACCAGAGCACTTCATTACTCTAATAGCAACGTGTCAAGATGTCACCACTCAAATCATAAATTTCTGAATAAATTGTATGTTATATATAAAATGCTGCTAACCAATCCTAAATAGAAGAACTGATGCTCATTTATCCCAGTAAGTTTCAGGACTCTACGCTGAGAATCGATGATATGGGTTTGAACAGGGGCAGGCAATTATTTGTGCTGGAGGACCACTTAGGGAGTTTTGGTGAACTAATGTGAACCAAGTCAACACCATGCCCCCCCAAGCCTTTTCCCCACAGCTCACCAGAACTCCCTAACTGGCTCTGCCATGGGCCCTAGCCCTGCACAGTCACCACCCGGTGATCCCAGGGTCTCTATGGAGAGCAGTCAAGGACCCACGTGGGCAGGGTGCACTTGGCCAGCTGGATGGGATCGTGTCACAGACAGGTGGGGAGCACTATCTGGGAGCAGGACATGTGGGTAGGGCCAGGACTGGGGCTGGAATCGCTGGATGGGATCATGGGGTGGTGACAGTATAGGGCCAGGGCCCAGGGCAGAGCTGCAATCCATGCCCAACAATCTCCTGGCCACAGAACTGATGCCTTTCACAGGGACATGTGGCTACTGTATCACGGCTCTGCCCTGGGCCTGGGCCCTGCACTGTCACTGCCCCGCGATCCCCACCCTGGCCCTACCCGCCCGTCCCTCTCCTAGATGCTTCTCCCCACCTGCCCGCAGCCCCATCCCAGGCCCACAGCTGAACATGCCCCACCCACGTGGGTCCTGAGTCAGTCTCCAGGGAGACCCCATCCACCCAGTGAGTGCAGGGTAGATGGACTGAGGTGCCCCAGTAGTGGGGCTGAGGCTTGCACTGGTAGCAGCCAGAAGGAGCTGCCACTGCTGGGGCTGCCAGGAAGCTGAGTCCACCTACCACACTGCTCCAGCCCTGCTGCACACCTGTGGTGGTGGAACTAGTTGCACATGCCACGGCCTGAGCTGCCCCATGCCTGAGTTGTGCAGGGCCAAGGGACCTGCCATGGGCTGGATAAAGCCCTCTGGTGGGCTGGATCTAGCCCACAGGCCATATTTTGCCCACCCCTGGGTTAGAAGGACACCCCAATAGGTCGGGCAATTTTCTGATCATCAAAAGTCAAGTTGCAGCTTAGATTGTACCACAGACCAACAACATGTAACAGAACCCAGAATGTGGGCTCTCAGAGAGACAAATTCTGCCCTATCCATGTAGAAGTACCTGCAAACACATTTTGCATATATCTAAAGGACAAAAAGGACTTGTAATAAGAATTTTATGTCAGCTGTCTGAGGCAAGGATTTTTGTGGGTGATTTCTTTTATTGGACCAACTGCATGATTGGGATAGAATTAGACAAGCTTTTGAATGCAGGGCATCATTTGCATTAATAACACTACCTTTTAAATCAGGTCTTGCTACCACAGTATCCCACTACCTTGGTGTCTGGTATATTTGCATGGTCATACAATCAACATTAAAAGGGGAAATTATGTATATTTCCACCATCTAAATATGCCATTGTTTTGCATGGACCATTTTATTTTCAAAAGAAATATTTCCTCCCAGCATGATTCACCTTGAAGATTTGTTTTTTTGGTTTTTGTTTTTTTCCCTCACCACAGCAGGATATTTGCCCAAAGCTGTGATAAAGCAGTGGATATTTTATGGCATCATAAATCTCTGAATAAATTGTATGTTATATAGAAAAAGGCTGCTATACTAACCAATCCTAAACAGAAAAACTTTTGCTCAATTATCCCTGAATAACCAAGATATAAAAAGCAATAATTTGTTGAACAAAATAAAAACCTGGAATTTCATGCATTATTTCAAGGCATACTTTAATATCCATAGAAACCTTTTATGACTAGAATACCAAAAAAATAATCTAATTATCATTTTACATTGTATTCTGGTCATTAATGAGAATGACATCACACTGGCTTTATGCAGAACTAGTACTCTTGATGACAGAAGGCTCAAATTTAGCTTGCTACTTCGCACTGCCTCCAGATAAAAGGCTGTATGGGCCCTGCCTTTAATGAACATGAAACATTTTTCTTTATAGACTTAAGGTAATGGGTGATGAATGGAAATGTGATCTTTTTTAAACACGGCTTTGCTTTGTTTTTATTTTAAAGCAGCATTGTCAGCCATAACAGTTCTGGTCTGCTTACATACTCCCACACCCTATCCTTTCAGCAAAAAAGCAATCTCATAAGCACATGGGAATCAAATTACTTGAGAGAAATGAGCTTGAGGAGCCTCACAGTTAACCAATTGCTGGAGCAGCAGCTCAGACAATTCTGGCTAAAGGCTCAATTTCACAAAAGATAAAACAGGTAAAGTAATAAGAGTGACACTGGCCCATGTTACTGCAGTGAGTGCTCCTCCAGAATACTGAAAAGGACAAGGGCACAGAAAGCCAAGGGAACATCTGCCACAAGGTACAAGCAAACACTGCATCAACACCCCATTTTATCAGGATTATGTGGGTTGGAAGGGAGATTGTGGGGGGGGGGGAATGTATACTTAATTTCAAGTATACAATTTTTTGCATGAAAAAGTTTACATGCACAGTCCCTAATGTAGAAACAGTTTGCCGAGACAATCCAGTGGCAAATCTATTTGGGAATAGAAGTAGTGCCACACACAAATATTGCAAATTATCTTAGACCATTAAGGAAGCTATTGCAATTCATGACAAGTCCAAACTCTTACCAGTCTGTTAATTTTATCTCCTGTCTTGTTAGCCATTCTCAACCTTTCCCCTTTAAATATAGTTAAATATCTACTAAAACACAGTGTTCTGTTATCTTGCTATGTTAGAAGTACTGGGCCCATATCTAACAAAGTTGATTGATTACCAAGGATTCACTTCACTAAGTATGGCTCATTTACCCCTCACTGTACCCTTCCCCCTCTACTGGAAGTAGGGTCTGAAACAGAGGGGTTCTGCACCCAGTTTGGAAAAAGGTATCTAGGTGGAGAGTGTTTGGGCTAAAATATTTTGTTGGGCCACACTGCCAATAAAAGAACTACAGAATGTAAGGTATTAGCCCAACCTTAGTTTATTTGTCGTGACAGCATGGGGAAAACACTTAACTTATTCACTGTACCTGCAGAATCTGCTATGCACCTTCTTAGTCTCTCTGCAGCTCACCAAGAGCATCTACATGAGTGCTGAAAAATACCGCACAGTAGTGCGTCACAGCACAGACAGGGCTAATACATTAGGCTACTGCGCAACAGCATCACGTAAAAGATGTTCACCAGTGGTACTGTGCAGTAACTCCGGTTACTGTGCATTTATTTAGTCCTTGCTAACACAATTACTAAATAAATGCACAGTTGCAACTGTGCAG